TAAGTATTCAACTAACACTTTTATAGAACGATAACGTTAATATTATTAAAATAAATAATTAAAATTTATATTATTCTTTCGTAACACATATTATAATAAAAAATATCATTACATTAATTAAAGTTAACTCCATTGTGATTTTATATCACATAATATATATTTTAGAAATGATTTAGATACACGTATAGCGTCCAATTCGATATTGATTAATTAAAATAATGGAACTCAATTTTTTGTTAAGTTTTTAGAAAATAAATTGACAAATACCAAATGATAAATAGTGTGGAGTATTATTTTCAAGAATAATGATTGATCGAAAATGATTATGTATGTTTAAAGCACCAATTAATGTTTCTTGAATAATTTTTAAATAAAAATTTTGAATTTATAGTATTACTGATATTGCACCTTAATGAGCTCTACTAGAAAAAATATGCAAAAATAATTTGGCTAGAATAAAAATTTTGCAGTTATTATGATATATCACATAATTAATCAGAATTCTTTTGAGAACTGAAATTATTAAGGTTATAGAGATTCTGTACCTAATTTCCTTTGAAGACACTGTTTATGATTTGAATTTGTAATTTTTTATGCATTAATGTCAATAACTCTTATGATCTTGCTGATATAAGTATAAATCCTACATTTGAATCAACCCACTTTAAGCATTTTTTCGTATAATGAAATACTTAAATATTGTCATATAAAAATATTATATATAATAGATCATAATCAAGCACTACTTGAATTATAATTAAAGACTCAATGCACCACTTTAGACAACCAAAAAAAAAAAAAGAAAAAGAAATTACCAAAATTTTTTTCGATTAATAACCAAAATAATACACCATGAGTTATAAACAAGTCATAATTTGTATATTATACAATTTTTTGTTGTTTTTATTTTTATTTTTCAAAAAAAAATATATTTTGATACAAGTGAAATTCATAATTTTTGGTAAAATTTGATTAACACAAATGAGAATTTGATTTCAGGTTAAGAATACACACTTCTTTTTTTTTTTCTTTTTTTCTCTAAACTTTGAAAGAAATTACTTTTATAAGCCTATTTTATGTAAGATCTCACACAGTGACTTAGCAAATTTGTTCCTATTTGTCTTTCAATTGTTAAAATTTTCTACACATAAAGTATTAAGACTCAAAATCAAATTTTCATTTTAAAAGTAAATTCCTGTGCATCACTCATATATATATATATATATTATTAAAAGTAGTATATTTTTTTTTTTATGTTTAGGCGGCACAATATGAAGGTTTACTTTTTTTAAGGGAACCACATCCGCATTTATTTTCTTAATTATACATAGAGTTTTATACAAACCCAAACTTAATTTAAATTATACTAACTTTACCTATTTTATATGGATTCTATTTGATAAATATTTCTTTTCCATATATTTTTCATCTTAAATTGAGATAATCCACAAATCCAATAGCAATTTTGCATTTCACGTTTTTCTTTTTAATTTTTTCAAAGGTATTAGAAATTTGTTTTAATGTTAAATTGCCTTTTTTTTTCTTCTTATCTTTCCGTGTATTATTCTATTCTTAATACTAATTCTATATTATGATTTGTCATTTAAATTTTATAGTGATTCTACATATGAAATTATATTTACTTTCCTACATTATTTTATATAATCACAACTCACATGAGGAAAAACTTGCACAACAATGATACTGTCGAGGAACCTCTAAAATGTAGATTTATTGCTTGAGTTACTTTTTCTGTTGTTGAATAGTAAATTCTTTTATATTTTGGCATCATATTATAGATGATTAATCACTTCACACACTGAGATATATCTATCATTTGAATGTTTTCATTATTTTTTCCTTTTGGGTTTAGATGTTGTTTTGTGATTCTTTCCAAGTTTTTAATCTGAAAATTTCAGGATTTGGAGCACGTTGGGTTTTGTCATCTTCTCCCTTGGGGCTCCAGATTTGAGGTAGGGATATCCTACTCATCTCTATAGATTTTGTCTCTAAATTTTAGTATTTTGAGATGTTGGGGGTTGGTTTAGTAATTTCGTGAAATTTCGGGGCTTTTGTGTAATTTTACAAAAGTTGGGGTTTTATTTATAATAAACCTAGATGCATGTTTGGCATGGAGTATTGGAATAAATGTTGAATCATTGATGAAAATGGGACCTAAGGGTTGAAATGGTAATTATGGAAAATGACCTAATTACATTGTTTGATTAATTGGGATAATTAATTGTGAGAAATGAGGAAATGAAATGGGATTGTTGAGATTGGGAATGCATGGAGTTAAAGGGTGTAGTTGAATTATTTATCACGCACCGAATTGAAATGTTGATTGAATATCCATTGGTGCATTTATTTTCTATTTAGAAATAATTACTTTGGGCTATCGGTGGAGGATAGTCGTGATTGTTGTAGACAATGCATGATGATTAGGCAAACGAAAACTAATCAATGGAACGTGTCATGGAATTTGACGGTTGATAAAATACATTAATGGTATGTATTGAATGATGGTATATAGAACCAATGTGTTTGTATACTTTATGTATAGAGGAGGAGATGGGGGATGTACTCCGCGGTTTAGGGGAAGATGTGGGATGTACCTCTAAACCGGATTGTGTTGGGAGAAGATAGGGGATGAACTCCGTAGATACAGCTCATATGCTTGTCTAGAGAAGTGAAGATAGAGCTCATATGCTTATATTTGTGAAGTGTGGATACAGCTTATATGCTTATCTGTGAATGTGGGATATAGTTGTTATACATATCTGTTGAGAGTGTGGATATAGCTTATATGCTTATCTGTGAATGCGGGATATAGTTTTTATACATATCTGTTGAGATGATGATAGAGCTAATATGCTTATCTGTTGAAAAAGGGAAAATGAAAAGTAACTTGGACTCATAAGTCGTATGACATAAAAACGTGATTTATGTGGATGTATCTGTGTTGGCCATCTATCAATTGCTAATCTTTTAGTCATTGTTCATGGTTGGTTTAGTGTATTTCTACTGGGCTGTGGCTCACCCTATATGGGAATATCATTTTCAGGTACAGGTAGCATGCCACCTCCAAGGTCATAGCTTGGGAGGCTAGAGGCGGGCAGATTTTTGTCATTTAAGTTCCTTTTGATGTATTACATGTAAATTCAAGCCAAGGGCTTAATGTGTAAATGAGTTAGTACTCTTTTGTTGTAACCAATTGTTAACTTGGAAAACTGTAAGCTTTTAGGGCATTTGCTTTTGTCGTTAACATGTAATACTTTTTGTAATGAAACTCTGATAAATGGAAGAATGTGGAACTTTTTACATACCAATGCATGTCTTTGTTGATGGGTTTAATGTTGTATTTTGAGGGCGTTACAATATTATTAAAAGTAGTATTTTTTTTTTTATGTTTAGGCGGCACAATATGAAGGTTTACTTTTTTTTAAGGGAACCACATCAGCATTTATTTTCTTAATTATACATATAGTTTTATACAAACTCAAACCTAATTTAAATTATACTAGCTTTACCTATTTTGTATGGATTCTATTTGATAAATATTTCTTTTCCATATATTTTTCATCTACCAATTTTGTGTTTCAAGTTTTTCTTCTTAATTCTTTCAAGGGTATTGAGATTTTTTTTTTTTTAAATGCTACATGGCCTTTTTTTTTTTTTAAATGCTACATTGCCTTTTTGTTTCTCTTATTTTTCTGTGCATTATTCTATACTCAATACTAATTCTATATTATGGATTTGTCATTTAAAATTTATAGTGATTCTATATATGAAATTATATTTCATTTCCTGCATTATTTTATATAATCACAACTCGTAGGAGAAAAAACCTGCACAATAATGATACTCTTGAGGAATCTCTAAAGTTTGGATTTACTACTTGAGTTACTTTTCCAATTGTTGAACAATAAATTCTTTTATGTTTTTACATCATATTATAGATGATTAATCACTTCACACACTGATATGTATTTATCGTTTAGATATTTTTATTAATTTTTCTTTTTAGATTTATATGTTATTATGTGATTCTTTCTTAGTTAGTCGTTGTTTAATTTTTCTTTTATATAGTTAATATTTTAATTTAATTAAGAGTGTTTATTTTATAATCTTATTATTTAATATATATATATATATATCATATAAAATTATTATATGATAATCCAACTATAACATATATCTATCTAATTTTTTTTAATAAATTTTATATAATTTCTATTTCTACATATTTTTATTTTCCAAATGAATATAAAAGAAAATTATTTTTAATATCAAAATGAGTATTTATTTTACTATTTTATAATATAATATATATCATACAAAATTATTATATGATAATTACACTTTTATAATGCGATAGAATTAAAATTATCAAAATATACAAATAATTTAACTAAAGTTAATATATATAAGTATTCAAGTAATAATATTATATGACAATAGCCCCAATATTATCAAAATAAATAATTAAAATCATACTTTAATTTTAATTTAAAGTTGAAATTAAAATTATTCTTTTATAACACACATTATACCATCAAATATTTTTTTTTAAAAAAAAAAATAGCACGTGCATTGCATGGGTCAACTATTAGTACAAGATTAAAATAAAAACAAGAAGACCGTAAAGGGTCAAACAAACAATTAAACAACAAACTACAAACAACAAAAGCAACTCTGCTAAAAAATCAGTTATGATTTAAGAAAAATCACCGTTTTTCTCATAGATATGGTTTGGAAAGTAAAATCTGCATCAAATTAAGTAAGATCTATATCAAACTAAGCAAGATCACACTTATTTTATTTTATTTTATTTTTTTGAGAATGGCACTAAAATTGTTAATTGCTAACTGTTCTAAGCAGTTTTCAAATTTAACTTTTCTTTTTTCATTTATTAAGCCACCCAATACCAAATCTGCACTCTCAAATGTACTAGTGTATACATATATGAATCAAATAACAAAAACATTTTAAAGCAGCCATTGAAAGGAAATTTATTTAATATAATGACAATAATTGATTTTTTTTTTAAAGTAAAATAAAATGGTGTACTTTTCAAATGAGAGCTGCATATAGGAGTTGATTCCAAGTATCAGGAACACCAGCTAAGCACCAATGACTGCAGTCCATGCCACGGTGACCTCCTAGCCCATACACAGATGGGTGCCCATCTTTCCTAAGTTGAGAAAGAGGGGTTATGTTGAGTAAATACACTGGTTTTGACATTCCCCTCAACACCGTCTCTAGCACCAACTCTGCTGGATGTGGACCTCCCGGATACGTTAGGCCGATCACGGGTTCCGTTTCTCCACCACAGTTTGCATTTGGACGTCCCCAATAACTTCCACTAATTCACAAAAAAACCACCAAAAAAAAAAAAAATGTGTCCCCTTCATCTATCTCCGTCTATGTAAGGTAACGGAGGAAGTTTAAAGAGAAAAATATTGGAATTTAAAATGAAAAATGAGTGAGATTTTAAAATTCTTTTGTGTAATTAATCATTTTTTAAAAAGTAAAATCACTAAAAATAAAAAATAGTTAATTACAAAATAAACTAAAGATTTCACGTGTTTTTCACTTTAAATCCCATCTGTTACCTTACACAGATAGAAATGGATGGACGAGGCAAATTGAAATACAAATAGAACTCTAGGGTTTAATTGGTCGAAATTGAAACACTTTAATTTAAAGTGAAAAATACGTGAAACTTTATTTTTTTTAATATAATATTTTTATTTATTTATTTATCATGTTACACATTTTAATTTTCATTAATTAAAAGTTATTATTTGTAATTTGTTATACTATTTTTATTTTTTTTTAAATTACAAAATTAACTCACCTCTAACCTATTTTCGCAAATGAAACAATAATTTGGATCTAGACTATCAAGGTTGGGATTTAATTTTAATGGACTTGTATAGATTAATGTATGTAGAAATGCTATTTTTATCAAGTTAGTTGATATTTATGTTTAGTTTGGTTTTTAAAGTTTATTTTCTATTTGAAATAAATAAATAAATAACACTCATGATTTTTATATGGTTTTACCTTTTTTTAGGGCATAAATAATTTTTAAGAATTAAATAATATTATTTTGTGTTTATTTTGAACGAAACTAATTTATATCTTTTAAAAATTACAAAAATTGATTCAGAAAATAAAACCAAACAAAACCTTTATTTATTTATTTTTGAATAGATATTTCAAGTTTTTAATTCTATTGGCTTATTTTTTAAATATTTTGTAAAGATGTATGTTCCATGTTGTTGGAGATTTTTTTTGGTATTTGTTATTTTAAATTTATTATTCAAAACAACATAATTTTGATTGTAGTTTAAAATTAGGTTGTATTTCTTGAATGATGTGTCTTGTCATGGTTAAAACCAAGGTTTCAGAACTCGAGCTGAACTGATCGGTTTGATCGATTGACCTGTCGACCAGTCGGGATTCTAATTTATATATACCCTCTAAACTGTTTCAATTCAAAAATTGGTCTATTTAGAGAGAATTGGAAAAGTTGGTGGTTGGACCTTCAAACCGATCAACCCGGGGACAAGTGAGGTGAATCGGCCAGGTCAATAAGAAAATTTTAATTAGAAACTCTCTTTCAAAGGTTTCTTCTTGTGAGAAATCCCATTGAGAACTTAAAATTATTGTGAAAGTCTCTACTTATTTATAACAAAAAAATTATTTCAAAAAAATTTAAGAAATTCACTTGGGATTTAATCAAATTTATTAGAAGGAGATTTGAAATTTTAACATCCATCTAAAATTTTTGCTATTCTTTCAATAAAATTATTTAAATTAAAATCATATGAAGGGAATATTAAATATTGGTTTCCTATTCCAAAATTAAAATTAATAATATTTTAAAATATGTTATTATATTTTTTAGTAAAAAAAAATATTAGGAGAAATATTTAAGATAATTTAATTTTTTTAATTTATAATTTTATTACTTATAATTTTATTTAAATATAATTTTAATATATTTATTACGTCACTGCTCGATTCTGCTTCAACCTGACGGTGGAGCTAGTAACCATTCACCTAATTCCTTTTCTAATTCACTTACTAGTCCGATTTTTAAAACATTACCCCAAACAATCATTACCAAATTGCTTACAAAATCATGTATTTAAGGACAATCACTTTAAACACAGCACCATCAAGATTTTTTTTTTTAATTTAAAAAATAACACTGGAGTTTTCTATATAATATTTTTTAAGAATAAAATTTCCCAACTTTCTATATACCTAAAAATTCAAAATGGACCTTGCCATAACTAAAATATGTTAAATGCGGCGGAAGGCTTTTTTGGTTCAAATTACATCAGTAGTCCATGTGACTTGTTATTGTGTTAATTTATTTATTGTAGTTGTAATTGTATTAATTTTACTTTTGAATTTTCATATTACGTTGTTCAGTCCAATTCACTTTAAAAATTGGAGTAAAATTAATGAGAAAAATATTAAATTTACTCCTTTCATAGTGATTGAGGGGTTAGCATCTAATATAAAATTATATGTTCCCTTTGAATGATAAAATTTTAAAATTTTGTCCTTAAATTTTAAATTATAAAATTTAAAATTATTCTAAAAGTCAAAGATGACCACAACTTCGATATCATTATTAAACCAATCCATTAAATCAAAAAATTCAAAACTAAAAATATTCCATATATTAAATATATCGATTACATATTAAAAGCCTAACTATCTATTATATAATCATCATCCAAACACATAATAAAGATTAATTTGATAAAAAAAAATGTCTAAAAGATTTTTGAATTTTACATAATTTTATCTTTGGTGGGTAGCAATTATTTTTAAAAATTCAAAAATATGTTTTTGATATTTATTTTTATTAAATTAGTTTATATTTTATTAAATTGATGATTTTGCTCTTGAAATTGAGCAATGACATTTTCAATTTTTCTTATTTGAAATCAAATTTAAAATTTAAGATTAAATGTATCATAATTAAAAAATTAGGAACTAAAATGACACGAATCTCAAATTATAGGGATTGTCAGTATAATTCGCCCTTCTAATAATTTATTGAATTTTTGCACAACCTTTTGGTGCAATTAAATCCTGAAATTCTCTTCGACTTCTCTAAATTGTAAACTATGGTTCTCTACTGAACCAACCAACCAACCAACCTAGGTAGTATTTAGTTTATTAGAATAAAATAAAATGAATAATTATTTTATTAAAATATTTATTCTTATATTTGATTGATTAAAAAATAATAAAAAATATATTACAACTAGAATTATTATTTATCATTGTCAGGAACTAATCATTTCATAGAGGAGTTCAAGAAAGGACAATTCTATTTCATCTCAATAAACTTAATAAAGCAGTAGAGTTTTGTTAGTGAAATGACTTTTAGGATGAGTTGTTAGGATTGGTACTTCTTCAATTGCAAAAGGACCTTCTACCTCTATAAAATAAACACCACTTACCATGGATGAGTTCTTAGACATGTTCTAGGCCTAGTATTTCACATTCGTCTACCACGAAGGCTAGGAGTTTCATTTTTTTTAATTTATTTTATTCGGTAGGTAAGTCATATTTTATATTCAAAAATTAGACGTTAAAATGAAATTTATTATATGCTTAAAAGGCCATACGCCCTTCAAAAAGGATAATACTTTTACTTACTAACTCACAACATAATCTACTAAATATGCTATTTTAGTCACAAAAGATAAAATATGCTATTTTAGCCATAACAAACAAAACATCACATCCAACCCATAATTATTACACTATTTTCTCACAAAATAAAATCAAAAAATCCAAAAAACCAAAAAGCCCTTCCCAAACCAAGCTTTTTAGCTCAGGCTAAAATAGCCAAAAAAATAAAAAAGCCAAAAAGCCAACTCACTTCCCAAACCAACCCTTAAATAAGTTCAAAATTAAGCTTTTTGAGCATTTTTCTCTTTTCCCCCATCAATTTTCAATCAAGTCTTATGTATTCATTGTCATAGTGAAGATGGATAGCATTGTGAAGGGTTTTCAATTTGTATTACTGTCTAAATATATATGAGCTAGCTATGCCTTTTTTTGTTTTTTTTTGTTTTTTTGCACTACTTTTATATAGAATAGTATTTGCTAATTTTTAAGGATGGTGCCAATCTTATTAGACTTAATGCTCATAGCATACAATTAAGATGGCTAAATGTACTTGTTGTGACAATGTATTTTTTCTTAATAATAAACTTACTTGGCATGATCCGGAGATACACCTTGGAAGATGACTTTAGTTTTAATAGGATCCACGTTCAATTCTACCCATCTGGCCCACGTATTCAATGCTTTCTCATATGCAACCAAACGATCCATGTCTTTGTGTATAACTCCTCCTCCTTCAATAAAATTCCATCTACAACACACAAAAAATAGGACCACATATGGTTTACAATAAAAAAAACAATGCATACAAATTACAACAATAGTGTTAATTTGGTTCCACAGTTTCAATTGCAACAAATATGTCCTTTAATTTTACACAATGTATTTAGGATTAATCACACTAATACACCTTAAAGTATGCGATTTGTGTAATTTTGTTCCCCAATATTTTAATTTTTCTCATTTTAGTCCCCAAAGTTATTTGATTTCTATTAAAATTGTCCAATAGTTCATGGGAAGTTTAAATCCAAATACTCATTTAAATGAGGGGAATTATGTGGTGTACAAAAAATGTAGATCATTTAGTAGCTAATACACCTCACGTGAGACCAAATTGGAGGGAAATATTAATGTAAGGTTGAGGACCTGATTGTAGATGGAGCCATTGTTTGCACATAGAACAACCCAAGGGGTTTTTAACTCTAGGGAAAAATAAGAAAGTCTGTAAGCTTGTCAAGTCATTATATGGTTTGAAACAAGCGCCTAAGCAATGGCATGAGAAGTTTGACAGTGCTATGTTGTCAAATGGGTTTAGAATCAATGAGTGTGACAAGTGCGTATATAATAAAGATACTGACAGTGGTTATGTCATTTTGTGTCTATACGTAGACGACATACTCATTGTTGGCAGTAATGATGAAATGGTTCGAACTACCAAGAGATTGTTAAACTCAAAGTTTGACATGAAAGATATGGGCCTTACAGATGTCATTCTAGGTATTAAGATTACCAGAACATCTAGCGGTATTGTACTTTCTCAGTTTCACTATGTTGAGAAGATACTTGAGAAATTTGATAAATCAGATACAAGTGTGTCTAGAACACTGGTAGACGTGAGTTTACATTTGACCAAGAATAATGGTGAGAGTGTCTCTCAGTTAGAATATTCTCGGGTCATTGGAAGTCTGATGTATCTAATGAGTTTTACAAGGCCGGATATAGCCTACTCTGTTAGCAGGCTTAGTAGATATACGAGTAATCCAAATGCCACTCATTGGAGAGGCATTATGCGGGCGATAGGTTATTTACACTAAATCCGGGATTATGGGTTGCATTATACCAGATACCCAATAGTACTAAAAGGGTATAGTGACGCTAACTGGATATCTGATATAAAAGATTCCAAATTCACTAGTGGTTATGTGTTTACCCTCGGAGGGGCAACCATGTCTTGGAAATCTTCCAAGAAAACGTGTATATCAAGATCAACAATGGAATATGAGTTTATTGCTTTGGATAAAGCAACTGAAGAAGCTGAATGGCTTCACCAGTTCGTTGAGGATATTCCACATTGGCCGAAACCTGTGCTTGCTATCTGTATTCATTGTGATAGCCAATTGGTGATTGGATGACCACATAGTCATATGTATAATGGAAAGTCTAGACATATCTGTTGTAGACATAATTTCATACGACAACTACTCTCTAATGGAATTGTCTCTCTAGACTATGTAAAGTCTAAGGACAACATTATGGATCTGCTAACCAAAGGGTTAACTCGAGAGTTAGTAGAAATGTTGTCATGAGGAATGAGGTTAAGGCCTTTAGTAATGTTATCGGAATGGAAAACCCGACCTAGTTGACTGGAGATCTCAAGATCTAGGTTCAAAGAGACAACCTAATTTCATGTAATGGGTGAGTCACTGAAGAGATAAATCCCCTTGTCCATTTCTTTGTACAGTGATTCCCAGTGGGGGTAGAAGGTTAAGCTAATACTTTTAATGACCTAAGTGATATGAATAGTCAACCGTGGTATAATGAGATACCTTATATAGGTCACCTATGTGAGTGTGAAGTGGAGCCGCTTTTTTAAGAATTGGTAAGGCTAAATTCTTTAAAGCCACTCACTGAAGTAGGCGAGTGTTCCAAGGCCATACCAGACACACAAGTGAGAACAAGAACAATGGTTGGACTAACTCCTATGTGAGGTCTATTGTCTCGGTTTACACAAATGGCAGAACAGTTCAAGACATCACGTTTACTGGTTAGTCAGTTAATCCAATAGGCTTTCACTACGAAAGGTTCAAGGCCAACAACTGCCTTTTCTGATGCAGGGTTAGTCTGTGTGCTCTCTCTCCAAGTCTTTGTTGTAAACGTTGTCCGTTTTTCTTATTTAGTCAATTTTTATTCATGTGGGGGATTGTTGGAAAAAAATGGGTTTTGGTAAACTTTAATGTGAAATTAAAGAAGGTCCCAACCATTGGTTGAGATGAGATTAAATGGGTTTAGGTTCTTTGTAACAAGGTCTTTACGTCACATAAAGAATGACCAAAAATCATTAAGAATTGAATAAGAAATTGTTTTATAAAGATAGGCTCATGAATGAAGTTTTGGGAATTGTGTATAACTATCAATCCCACGTTGATTGTGGAGGAAAACTTTAATGGTTGTTTAAGCCTCAAGATTATGAGAAGGTCATAAGCCCTTTGGGGCATCCAAATTTTTCGAAGGAAGGGAGGCATGGATGCTTCAAGGATGGGCTTGGGTCAAGACTATGGTCCAAGTTGGTTATGGCAAAATTGCCACACGCACGTGCGCGCGCCACCCGTCCGGACCGGGCTGGGTCCGTGGTTCGTGATCCGTGGATCATGGATCTTAGGTCTTAGAACTTGGGACTTGGGCTTAGGCTTGATGCTTGAGGGAATGGGTTAGGTTTGGGCTGGGTCAAATTGGTAGTCCACCAATTTATTCTTTTTGGGCCAAAGTTTATTGTAGGCCCAAATCTGTTGTAGAAATGTATATACATTTATATGTATATTATGTGTAACTCACACTTTGAATTCCTATCAGTTTGTGCATTACTCCAGCAGTTTTGCAGGAGTAATGGCCTCCATTAATGCTAGCCTTTATGGCTGGAGGCTCCTTCTCTCTCTCCCCATGGTGTATAAAAGGAGACCCATCTCCCTTGGTTTTGTACACAAGTTTTTTCTTTTCAATCATATAGTCAGTTTGCCTACTAGTATAATATTCTTCTTGTGTAAGAGAGAGTGCTGCCATTGTTGGTTTGCCAAACTAACAGAAGGTGATTCTGTGTTAGCTAGTTTAAGCCATCTTATCCTAAGAGACAGAAGTCGACGTTTCTCCAGCACCCACGGTGAGGCGACTAATCTATTTTAAGGGCACTGTGGTATCACACAGAATTTGGTTTGATTCGCTGGTTTCATATTTCAATTAAATATGTTTTTTTTTTCCTATTAATCTTGTTTTATGTTTTCATGCTCTAGAATATAATCCATAAGGTATGGTTTTATTTGATGTTATGTAATTTCATTGATGCAATATGAGTGTAATTGTTTCGTTTAATTAGCCAATTTCAACAGCAGTTACATGGCATGATCTTGAACTAAGGTACCACATCGATTGACTAGAATTGTTAAGGTTAGGGCAGATGTCAAATCCTGGTCAAAGTATGATTCCTAGGTTGAGTAATTCTAATTGAGATCGGACTTTCCTATGTTGGATAAGACATAGATTCTAGATAAGATAAAGCCTAATCTAATTAGAAGAGGAGACCTAGATAAGGAATACTTGCTAACCAAGTGTATTCCTAGTTGAAAAAGGATACCTAAGAATGTGGCAGTGCAGTCCTATACAAAGGGTTACACCAATAAGGGTTGAGGTACATTTGTTTGAGTATTCTAAATTTATAGTTTTATATATTTGTGTTATTGTGTGTTCTAGAGAGCAATGTCAACAACATGATTGGGGCTGACATTAATCTCTATTTTGCAGGTGTAAAGCTTGGGAGCATTTCAAACCAACGGAAGGTAAGAAAAGGCAATCGATATACTCTCAAAGAGGTTAGGGTTGGGAATGGAGGATTGAATAAGAAAGGGAGATTCTATGGAGCCTATGGAGGTGCTCTTAAAAAGTAGAGTCCACGAAGCATGACATGGGTGAATCCCAAGGACTAACGTGCAAGAATAGAATGACTTCAAGAGCTTGAAAAGAAGCAACAAATAATAGCTCATGATGTAGCACATTGAACAAGTTTAAATTGACATCCAATAGAGCTCTACGGTAAACAGAGGAAGATCTTTAAGGTTTCCTTGATCAAAAATAGAGAGAGAAACATGGTAAAGAAGAGTAAGAGAAGCAAAAATTTCCAAAGTACAAGCCAATGTCACCCTTTGTGGAAGGATTGAATAGTTGGAACCTCCTAAGAAGTTCTCAATAATGAAATACATGACCTAGGATGATGTATCAGATCCAAACAATTATGTTCAACAGTATAAGAATGTCATGCTTCTCTGGAAAGGAAATTACTATTTTAATATGTAAGGTCTTCCCATCTAGTTTGGGAGAGGTGGCTTCAGAGTGGTTTGAAAAGCTCCCTTCAGGGTTAGTAAAAGATTGGAAGCAGTTGTCTACGAGGTTCATCACAAATAATTGACAACCAAATTGATTAATAGTACAAGGTTCGTCACAAATATCACGGACACTACTTGCGCTTAGGAAGTGACAAAAATAAGTTTGAGAGAATATGAGAGAACATTAACCAGATCAATGGCTGCGATAAGAATTGATTGTTAAGCAATTTGTCTTAGTATTCTTATTCTCTCTTCTACACTTTCTTTCTCTCCAACAATGTAAGAACGTATCAAAATAATTGCTTCTATGTTGTAGCATTGTAGCTCTACTCGCACTACTCAGAACTACATAAACACTACTCTACCAACCTCCTTGTTCTTCTAGTGATGGTTATTTATACCTTTTATAATATTTCTCAATTGATGCACACATAACTTCGACGATTTAAATCATCTCTAAGATTATTTTCATAAATGAAATCCCAAGTAAGAAAATTAAACGCACATGGTAATTGATTAATTGAGTACCAATTCACTGTGATTCAACCTAAGGCCTAGTACCATCAAAGTCCTAATGCTATTAGTTTTAAGCCACCACATTCTTGTCATTATCTTGGTATATTCATATAAACATATACAAATGTATGTGTTTTATATATATATACAAAGAGAATCGTGAGTTGAATTTTGTGTATTGTGTTGGGTTTTTGCCTTAGGTCATGTAAAGGTGGTGGGTCGAAGATGGTCATATATGGGCTGAATAATACAAGAAAATAGGGTGGAAATTGTTTGTTAGGGTCAGATAAAGTAATAAGATGGGTGGTCTTGTTTGATAAACAAAGCTATATGTAGGTTATACTGTTGGTGTTCTACACTGGATTATTGATTACACACAAAACATACATACAGACCCGCATATAAAAACATGTTCATATATGAATTATTTATTTATATATATCAACAAAAAATAGGATAAATACTATGTTTGTGGTTGAAAACCTAAGTGATTCGTGATTAGATCAAGATTTAATTATTCCAATTCCTAATCAATTAAAACACATAATCTAAATCATCAAGCACTTACGAAAGTGATTTAGATTGTTGTTTTTGAAAAACAATAAATTGACACTAATGATTTTTACGTGAAAAAATCACAATTGAAGCACCTTCAATTGTGATCAAAAAACCACGGGCGAAACACCACTTATCAATCCACTACTGAAGAAAGAAATATTACAAAGATAACAAACAAATTACCCAAACGCTTCTAATTTGTCTTCAAATCTTCTGTATATTTTTCACCGCAACCTTCGTCTCGGAATTGATTAGATTGAAGTTGAATCCATAACTTCTATTGTCGAATTAACGATCATGCACAGTATCAAACTCCTTTGATACTCCACGCCTGAATCTCCGGATTCCACCGTAGAAGAATACTTTTGAATATGAACAATCAATCTCCTTGATGTGTGCTTATGAAAACATGAGTTTAATACTCAATCAAATCATTAAGGAAAACTAGTGAACAACCCCAAAAGAAAACCCTAACTACCTTAAAGAAGATCTCAAAAACGTAATCCTAGATTTGGACTTAAACAAGTACTTATAGAAAACCGGGGCAGCGAAGCTCGCTCGAGCGAAGACTCTCTAACTCGAGCGAGGAACCAAATACGCATGTTGTCTTTAAGCGGCTTCGCTCGAGCCACGCTACCTACGCTCGAGTGTACAATTATCCTTTTCAGGTTTTTTTTTACAGAAGCAGCTTTCGCTCGAGCGAGAACTCCTTCGCTCGAGCGAGCAAGACAACAAACTTAGAAAAATTACAACTCGATAAAACATGTTTATTCACGGGATTGACAAGACTAAGTGACCTAACAGTGGTGGCATAAGGATCATTAAAATAGCTTTGCTAGAAGGTCTTGGTGAATTTTTTGTGTAGATGGGAAAATGGGTTATATGCATGAGAGATAGGGGAGACGAAACAGGGCACTGTGATTATGGTGATTGGGGTCAGAGTTTAGTGGTAGACTGATTTGCCAAGAAGGAGGCTCAAGTAGTAAAGAGGAAGAAGAAGGTTGCAAATGGTGACAATGGTTATTCGTATGTGTTTTAGAGAAAGAAAATGGAAAAGCAAGAAGTAGAAGTAGTAGAAGAAGAAGAAGATAGTAAAGGAGAGAGAGAGACAGAGAGGCAAAGCTAAATCCTTTTAATTTCCCATTTTCCTGTGAATAATGGACATATGAGAATCACATGACCATTTTTCGTTAACAATATACAATGTGCAAAACTAAAGGACATATTTATACGATTCAAATAACAAGAACCAAAATGACACTAGGAGATAAAATATAAATATTAATCACACTATTTGGTTTCAGTTTTTAGAATTCACTTTTCAAAAAATTTTATTTTTGTTATTTTTCGTATTTTTTTTTTATCTTCATTGAATTTTTAAAAATATTTTAAGTATTTTTTTAAATTTTTTTTTAGATACACCTAATATAAATACGCCTAAAAAGTATAATATTTGTAAACAAAAAAAATCCTTAAAAAATTCACTAAATACCAAAAATACAAAAAAAAAATGAAAATTCAATATATTTTTTCACAAATATTTTATTATTTAGATAGATCTAAATAAGGTGTATCTAACAAAATAATAAAATTACTTGAAATTTTAAAAATATTCACTAAAAACAAAAGACTCAATTTTCAGAAAACTGAATTCACAAAATTGAAATCAAACACACTGGAGGTAATTTGTGAAAAAAATAGTATATAAATATATAAAGATGTGTATAAAACCATGTCCTATATATAAACTAGTCTTACGGTTGTTTCCTGCCAGTGTGAAGCCACCAATGCCATGTATTGAAGATCAATGTGTCCATTCCTTTCCATATTGTACCACTTTGGATTGAGTCAAGTTTTAGAACTAATCCGATTTTCTCGAGCGTGATATCGACAAGAAAAGCATTGCGTAAGAACATAATTGAAGCATTGTACGCCTGCATGCAAGCACACACAAAGATAAAAATGAAGATTGTAAAGCACCAATGGTTCAATGATTATTGATAATGAACCCAGGTTATAAACATTTATAAATTTTTTTATATATACAATACAATATGATAAATAAATTCCAAAACATGTGAGACGTTGTCCTGTTATTTGATGTGTGGATCATATCTTCATTTAACGCCTTTTAAACTTTTCTTTGGTGGGAAACTATTCTTACAGTGACTTGACCGTTTTGTGACATTTTTCTTTTATGATCCGAAATCATAACAAAGAAAATTATTGAAAATCATTATCAAGATTTCAAAGAATAAGAAACTCAAGTACAACTAGTTTTTATCTTTATTTCCATTATGTTCAGTGAAGAGTGCATCATAAGTACTATAAGGTGTCGATAGTGCTACAATTTTATTTTCTTTTTATACCACCTTCAATGTATCGTTTCATGTGTCAATCCATCATTGATATAATGAGTTTCATTACTCATGTTTATGTCAAATGATATGTTTAGACATGAGATAATATATTGAAAGTGGTATAAAAAGATAGTGAGTGTAGAATTACTCCCGTAAAATTCATTTTACAAGCTTTGTGGCAATAAGAGCAGAATAATGATATTTTTTTGTTCCTTCAATATGCATATGTTCTATTTTGAAACCATAACTATTATGCAATCAATATCAAAGTAGTATTACTATTTAAGAGAGAGAGAGAGAGAGAGAATTTTATTATAACATCTTGACTTCAAATACCTTATCATTGAATACATGTTCTGAGCTTTATCTTCCATGTTGGTGATTCTATTATTACTATATCTTTTTCTTTTTTTGATGCTATAATTACTATTATGGACATTGTTAATGATACTATATTGTGATACAATGAAAATGAAAGGGAAACTAATTTCTTTCATGATTTTCCACCAACTTATAACAATATTAAATTTAAAAGTTAAAGAAATTATGAAAAAATTATGAAATTAAAAGAGAATAATAAAAGGAAAATTATACGGATAGTCCCTACATTTTATTTCTTGTGTCATTTTGGTCCCTACACTTTTAATTAGCTCAATTTTGATCTTCAATTTTAGATTTTGTGTCAATTTAATCCAATTGATAACGCCATTATTGTTTTGATGGAAAATTATCACTAAATTGGTTAAGTTAACTTACTAAGTTAAATAAATTTATTTTTCCTTAAAAAGCATAACATGTCACTTATGTGTATATTTTTCATTAAAAAATGCTAGCAATTGTAAAACATTAGATTAAATTGAGACAAAATTATAAATTCAGGGTCAAAATCGAGTCAATTGAAATTATAAGGATTAAAATGATATAAAGACCAAAATACAGGGACTATTAGAATAATTTGCCCAATAATAAATGATATTCAGAACTAAAAGTTGATCACTTGTTTCCATTATATTTTCTCTATAGCAAGATAAAATAAGAAACAAAATTCCCTTCAAATTTTTTGTTTCAACAAGGATGCATGAATATTTCTTTTTGGTTAATTAATTTGCAAGCATCATGCAAATTACAAATTAAATCATAATATTAATTTGGTTAATATTAGGAGGCCAATTTTTGTTATCACGAGAGCCGTCACTAAAAATGTCACTCTGATTATTTTTTATTTTTTATTTAAAAAAAAAAGACATTTAGCAGCAATTTTAAAAATATCGCTGGTAAATGCATTTTGATGGGACAGCATTTTCATGTCAAAAGGTTTATTTTGTAGACCAAAATTTTGGTTCTCAAAGAATAGTGATTTATTACTAGATATTAAATTTTGTCACTAACACTAGGATAAATTATACCATTGGTCGCTCTAGTTTGAGGGAAATTTTAGTTTGGTCCTTATAGTTTTCACTTGAACAATTTAATTCTTACACTTTGAATTTTGTTGTAATGTGACCCATTCGTCATGTTGTTGTCAACATTTTGAATGAAAAAAATCACATGAAAAACTAGAGAGGCTAAAGTAGAATTCAAAACAAACTACAAGCATTAGTGTAATAAATACATTACACCGATGGTCCTTGCATGTAGTTTGTTTTAAATTTCACTTTGATCATTTTAATTTTACACAGTTTTCCGTTCTACTAATGGTAAGAAATGGAAGGACTATATTATAACAAATTAAAAGTTTAAGGATCAAATTATTCAAATTAAAACTATAGGGACTAAAGTGATGGTTTAAACTACATGGACTAATGGTGTAATTCTCCCCTAAATTTAAAATGATACTTTTAATAACTAAAATATTTTAGGAGGTGGTCTTATCTCTAAATTTTTGTTTTTAAAAACTTAACTTTGTTGTAGTGACTCAATCCAATAGGGTATTTGATTGATCCAATAGGGTATTTGATGAGGAATTCAATCAAACACGCTCTTGTTGAACTAATAGAAAAAGGGGCAAATGACATTTTACTCTCCTCAATTATTATCTTTTGTCACTATGTCTCTAAACAAAAAATTGCAACACTTTCCAATATGAACCTTGGGGATGAAAATACCCTTTCAATTATAGGATAAATTATACTTTATCCCTTTACTATAACTTAATATCACTTTACCCCTATTAATTTAAAAATGCTATATTTTTGTCACCTTAACCTATCAATCTGTATAAAGAAAAATTGTTTAATCATTAAAATGACTTTATTCATTTTTTTCCCTTTTCTTTATTCTAAGTGAGAGAGAGAGAGAGCGCGAGAGATGATATTGACAAAAATTCAATAGTTACATGGATGCAAAAATGATATTGATATCGCTTTTATATCAAAATATTGTCCTTATTTATTCTTTTGTCTAGGAGTAATCATTGGTCCGATGGTCCACCCAACCCAATATTTTTAGGGTTTGAAAAAATTATTTTGCCCATAAGACTAGATTAGGCTAAGATTTTGTACCCATTTAATATTCCACTGGGCTTGGGATAAGGAATTCTAGCGTAACTTAGGCCGGCCTACTCATTTATAAAATATTAATTATAGTTTTATATTATTTTAGTCATAAAATAATGTAAAAAAATATAAAAAAATAAAAATATATATACTTCTTTCTAGGGCTTAAATTAAAATATTTACTAAAAAAATATTTTATCAATGAATTTTGTCAATGTTCTAGATTCAAATAATAAATAAATGGAAAAAGACTTAGACCCCCACCACCCCCATTGTTTTTTGATTGGCTCAATTTTATTTTATTTTTAGTCTTGCTCTCACAGCCCCCCACATGGAGGTGGGGTCCTGGGGGTCACTCCCACTAGGGGTCCCAGCACTGTTGTAAATAAAATGATCTAAATAATTAATATCCATTCAAGAAAAAAAAAATAAAATAAACAAATTAATAGTTTATATATATTGTGTTAAATGGGTGGGTTTGGAATTTGAATTTTTTTAGAGCTAGGTTTCGGATGGCTAGATAATGTCGATGCCGGGCTGGGCCAAGCCAAGTTGGACTTGAAATGATACATATCCTCTTATTATATAATGCAAGTCTAGCCCGAGGTTTATCTACCCTTAGTTTATACACTTTTGTATTAGGAAAATGTTCTAGACCACTAATCTAAGAGCTAGTCTAAGAGCTCTATTAGCTCTTATATTGGTGTGGGTCCTACACGATGAGATGTTTTGGCTTTATATCTTTATTATTATTGTTATTATTATTTCTAACTTATTAGAGCTATTAGTGCTTCAAAATTAGTGGTAGCAATCACTTCTTTGTATTGTGTTTGATCGTTTCAACCTTACTAAAAAAAAAAAAAAATTATGCTAAATTTATGAAATTTATTATATTTTCAATATAATTTATCCAAAGAATTAGGTGTTTACCAAAAATAAAATAAAATAAACGGAACTGGGTGGAAGCCAGTAATGGGTTGGTTGGTTATATTTGTTATCTTATTTTTATAACTTTCGACAAATGATGACATGCATCCTATGCTTCTATATTTGTTCTGTTCATTCAACCGACACATATGATATAGGTGATATATTCCACAAATTGGTTACTTCCAAACAAACCACAAAAATACATTCATCATCATCATGCATGCAATATTCATATGACGAGCCTATCAAAAAATTAAAATAAATATAAATATTAATAAATAAAATAATAAAAAGTTCATATCAAGAGGGAATGAGCTCCCCTTCCAATCTTCATCTCTCTATGTTATCCATATCCCACTGGTGAATCTCAATTCAGACCTATATCGATAATAATAAAAGTCGTCCATACAAAAATTATTTTTATCCGATATCTATAAGCACAAGAATAATCATATTTTGTTTTATGAAATAAATGACAAATATAATTATAAACTTAAATCATCCATTATAAAATAAAACGCGATTTTTTTTTATTTTTTATTTTTTATAATTATCACCACAAAATTAAGGTTTTAGAAACCAAAATTTAGGGACAAAATTATTTTTTAGGAACCATATATTTTTGTTACAAAAAGTGTCGTTATGATATTTTTAGCAACAAAAATTAGACATTAGGGATGAATTATTATCCTTTTAAGACCAAATTTTTTGTCTCAAAAAATAAATCATTTTGAGACTAAATTATTTTGTCCCTAAAAGTATTTATTAGTGACATTTTCAAAATTTTGTGGCTAAAAAGTATTATTTTTGACTTTTCGAAACGATTTTTTAGCGACTATTTTCATGACGATAGAAATTGGTCCCTAAATGTCATTTGTAACAAAATTTTTACTTTTAGAGACCTGAATAATTAATTTTTAAAACTCTTATATGTTGTAGTGTATAATTGTAGAAAATAGATATTTCGAACCATCTATGTATCAGAGTTGGAACCACAAAAGAGATATAGGGATACTGAGAGATGAAATATGGTGAAGAGCTTCTCAATACAAGCAGGGAGTGATAAACTCACCGGAAATGTGAAGGTAGAGAGGCCTTCAGTCCTTTGTAAGGTGTAGGTGGCGTGCGGTACAGCCACATGAAGCATGCAAGTCAATGACTGCCATTGATTGAGACTCAGAGAATCTCCTACAAACATGAGGCGTTTTCCTCTCAATCTCATCAAGAAATCTGCACCGTTAAACCTATACAGAATACATGAAAAAGTAGATCAAACATCAAATCTTGGTCTTAGTCGTAGGACCCATTTCATGGAAGTGACCCAACAATGTAAACGATAAACTCTCCAACTCATTTATAAAGTGTATTGAAAGCAACATTGTAACAAAGTTGATCCTCAATCTCATCAAGAAATCTGCACCGTTAAACCTATACAGAATACATGAAAAAGTAGATCAAACATCAAATCTTGGTCTTAGTCGTAGGACCCATTTCATGGAAGTGACCCAACAATGTAAACGATAAACTCTCCAACTCATTTATAAAGTGTATTGAAATTTGAAAGCAACATTGTAACAAAGTTGATCCCATATTATGATATGAAATTAATAACCCATAAGTATACACTCATATATTATTATATGCATTTTATTATATAATAAATATTTGATATTTCTCTAATAAATGTTATGTGCTTTTTTAATAAAATTATGATTATTTATGATTCAAAAATAAAATTACATGTTTTTAATAATATTATATGTATTTGTGTTATTGTAACTTTTTTTAAACATTTCCATATTACTAACTTTTATAACGAATAATTTTTATAGTTATTCTATGCATTTTGTATTTTTGAATCTTAAATTGTAATAATTTAACCAATGATTACGTAATATTTATCATAAAATTTATTAAAAAAAATACTTAATAACTTGCATATGGTATACATTTTTTTAGAGAACTTATATATCGAAATCCATCAAAGAAGTGATTTATAAACAAAATTTATATAGATAAAGTATATCTAGAATAATACAACAGTGACATATTTAAAATTATGAAGTACAACAACAAATGTTTTAATTTAAATTTTAGATTTGTATAGCATTATCTTTCCATTTGATTGGCCAGTGTTTGGATGGTGAGAAACGAAATTGGGTTGGGCGTCCACAAGAAAATAAAGCCTTGGGTTTGGAGTGGGGCTACTACTTATCTCATGCCATCTTGTGCACGCAATTGCTCTGCAAATATTGTTATACATTTATTGAAATTGCATTTCAATAGAACACTGAAAAATAATAATAGTATAAATTTTGTGTGTCCCTAATAAAAATGTTTCTTCTGTTTAGTATATATATATTTTTGTGCATCAAAGTTATAGAAAAAACGGTAATGCTGGAGACCCCAGCACCCCCACTTCCACGTGGGGGGTTGTCAATGAAAAAAAAAAAAAAAAACAAACAGTTATGGACCAATCAAAAATCAGTGGGGGTGGTGGGGGTCACCCCCACTGGGAGTCTTATGCATTTTCCTAGAAAAAATTATAATTTTCACTTAATTGCAATTTCCCTTACATTCTATTTGTGTGTCATTTATTATGATTGTTTTACTGTGGTGTAAATGATTAAAAAAAAAAAATTGAAAAAAAGTCTATGAAAGCATGTGAGAAAGAAACAAAAAGTGGACCATTTGAATTAATGGTTTGAAAATGTAGAGGGGTTATCAATAATTACAAATGTATTATTATTCAGTGTGATTGGATGTGCTAAAATCTAGGTCATCTTTTGATAATTTTGCAGTACGATTGGCTCATACTGATTGATTAGTTAAATTTGAGTTGGAACATCATACATATATAGCACTTTATAGTTGATGTGTTTATTTATAAAAAGGAACAGTGTTATTAAAGGCCCGTTTAAGCATGCGTCCAGGCCCAAGGCTTATCAAGATGTAACAAGTGCGTTTCGAAACATCTCAAGTTAGATAGTGTAAAACAAGCCTTATAAAAATGCATGAAGCATGTGCTTTGGATTTAGGCTCAAAATACCTAACTTGTACGTTTCTTTTAAAATATTTATTCATTATAATTATAATATTTGATTTCACTTAATATTATTATTGTTTTGCTCACATCTTGCTACGAGGGATTAAACCCTTAAATATATATTACAATCCAACACTTTTTGAACCCTAATTATACAAAGATATTGGTTGGATAGAGCTTTTTCTTCGACTAGACTAACATTTGTTATTATTCTTTTTGCCGATCAAAATTTTTTTTTGCTATTATTCTTTTTCATCTCCTCATTCTCTTTTTCATTGTCTATGCTTATCTTGTAAGACATTGATTTCGTCGCTATTTTCAGATATTTATGATTTATGTATTAGATGATTGTATTTATGTACAATCTTGGATTATTTGTCTATGATAAAATAACCCTAATTATACAAAGATATTGGTTGGATAGAGCTTTTTCTTCGACTAGACTAACATTTGTTATTATTCTTTTTGCCGATCAAAATTTTTTTTTGCTATTATTCTTTTTCATCTCCTCATTCTCTTTTTCATTGTCTATGCTTATCTTGTAAGACATTGATTTCGTCGCTATTTTAGATATTTATGATTTATGTATTAGATGATTGTATTTATGTACAATCTTGAGTTATTTGTCTATGATAAAATATTGATATTTGTGAGTATTTATGTTTTAAAATGTTTAATATTACCTTTCATTTATCTTGAATTATTTTCTTATAATAAATTATCTATTTTTTATTGTCTACATGAGCCTTCCTTTAATGAAACCCGTTCCTTTTTTCATGCGTCTAGGCTTTGTGCTTGTCGCCTTTAATAACACTGGAAATGAAAATATGTTTTGTTTTTCGTTTGATCTCATTTTAAAACAAAAGAATAAAATGAAGTTGACCTTTATTTTAGAATTAATTTCACCTTTATCTTATAAATTGTTATTATTATTTTTTTCAATTTCATTGTTACACTACTGATTTCATCTATGTAGATTAATTTAAGTAGTGTGATCCAATTGAAGACAATCAAATAGGTTGTGCAAATTGTACAATTACTTTTTTGCCCATTAAGTTAGTTTTCCACTATTACTGTTTTCAATCGGGTCATATAAACTGAAATAATTTTTTTTAACAATTAAATAAGATAAAGTTGATATTTTGACATACCAAATAAAAAAATTAACAATAATTCAAAAGGTAAAACTGAAATTAAACCTAACTTTTAACGTCAAAGTTGAAAGATGAATACCTCTGAGGTCAGCTGTAAAGTATTTTTTTTAAAGATAAATTTCTATTGAAATTTGGAAAAACAAAATTTATAAATTATAAATTTTGATATAATTATATTGATTTTCTTTTTAATATTATTAAATGCGAAAATACAAAAATAAATAACATAAAGTATATATTTTCTTGTAAAATAGATGATAATATCATTTTTTTAATACATATATATAATCAATAAATTATTGATGAAAAGGGATTTAAATGTTATCTGAATTAATTCAATATAATTATATTAAAACCGTGATACATCCTAAATTTTTTCTATAACTTGAGAAGTCAATATAATTTATTTATTTATTTATTTGTTTTTAAAATATTTGTTTATGTTCTACAATAGTCGCTCCATCTCAAATTGCTGGTCTACTTTAGGCATGTCTTTTAGTTCAGTCACTAAATAATATATTTTATAAAAAAATCATTTTCTTATAAATTAAAATATTTCAAAATCTCGTTAATAATGTCTTATTGAATAAATAAATATTTTTTTAGGATGTCATGAAATAGTCATACAATTTGGAAGGGGGAAAGTACACATCAGTGTAATCACAAAATCATGAACAACATTAAATTGAGATAAAAAGTTGCTTCTCACGGAGATTAAATTCTCACGACTTAACCAATACATATTATAATATTATTATTTATTTTTATTTATTTGAATTATACTAACACTAAACCGAATCAGGCCTTAACTCTCATTATAAATTATTTTTCTCTACGCGATTCTATCAAAAGCTATTTCGTTAATCAAATTAAGTAGATTTATAAATTTATTTACTATGCTAGCCAAACCCGTAACACTTTCATCTACTGTGACTATATCGCATCTATTTATTACTGTCTTTATTAGTCTCCGTTAAATATGAAATTAAACACACTAACAATAATATAATAATCATAATAATAATAATAGCAGAAAAGAGTGAGAAAAGATTCGAGAATAGTACCTTGGTAAATAGCAGGAAGAGGGCTGCCATCTGTATTTGAGGTAGTCTTTGTCTGGACGACCGTTGTTTATGCAATCAAACTCTTTCTCTACGAACGGACACTTTGTTGTATCATACAGTGGATACGATTCATCATATACCCAACTCCCTTGGAATACATCACAGCCGTTCGTTCCAATCCTACCATGTATTTGATTCAGCAGTGCAAACAGCAGGATTAGTGTAGCAACACAAGAAAAACTACCCATTAGAGAGAGAAACAGAGGTTGTTGGAGGTCACAATAATGTATGTGATTTTTTGAGTGTAGGAAAAGAATTACTGTAACATATATAGGTGTGAGAGTATCAATGGCTAAAGAATTGCATAGTTTCCAAAGTGTTGGGATTTAGAAACTTAATGGGTTAATTGCGTTTTGCTTTCCTTTCCTTATATATTTGGTAAAGATGAGTGGCTTTTGGAATTATTTCCATATATACATATATATATATATATATATGAGACATATTTTATTTTGATTTTCTCATTTTTACTCAATGCACAACATTAATTTTCAAATGGCCTGAAAATATTCTCATCTTCTTTTAAACCTAACATTAATTTCACTTCATTGTCGTTGTTGCCGTCATCGCCATCAACTGCTGCCATTGCCTCATTTTTAGTCCCGTTCCCCCATTGCCATCCCTTTCCCTAACTCATTTCTTCACTGTCACACCTTCTCCTTCTACTTTTCTCCATCACAACCTAGGCCCCTCTCCTTTTACTGTGCAATTTTTTGCTCACTTGTAATTATGTGAAAAAAGAGAGATTGAGATAGTAAAACGGAGAAAAATACATCTAAATGGTAGATCTAAAGATGAACAAAAATAAGAAGAATGAGAAGGAAGAGGATGACAAGGATAGTAAGAAATGAAGATCTAAGGAGGAGTCAGGGCGGTGACGAAAGTGGTTGGTAGTGATGGTGTTGATTGGTGGCGTGTGTAGTGTTGTCAAAACGAGTAATTTACTTTGGTGTGTATTGGGATATATAGTGGTGTATAAACAAATTTTTCTTTTTTTTTTTTTTGGTGAAGAGAACATTTGTGACAATTTTACCTATACACTTTTCTATTTGTAGTTTCTCTCTCTATCCTCAAACACCACCGCCAACAATTGTAAAAAAAACTTACAAATAAGTAAAAGTAGCATAATCTTCAAATTATTATTATTATTTTTTATCCTTATCACGTCTTTTGTTTGTTTGAAAAAAAAAAAAAAACTCATATTTAGTAAGTGTAAACATTTATGCAGTAGTGATTAATGACTAGAGTTGATTTAACCTATATTGGCTAATTCATTGAGAAATTCTTTTATTGATACACTACATGCCCGTATCACGATTATTGAATTTTGGGTAAATTATACCAATAATTCTTGTACTTTGGTTCCTATATCATTTTTATCTCTATAATTTCAGTTGATTCAATTTTAACAATAAATTTATGATTTTATCTTAATTTGATCTAATTAATTATAACTTTTTTATATTTTTTTTATGAAAAATATATAAATAATTGGGACATGTCATATTTTTAAAAGTAAAAGGGTAAATTACACTAACACCCCTGAGGTTTATGTTTATTACAGATTCCCTCTCACATTTGGAAAATTACACTGACCCCCCTGTTAATTTAATTTTATGTATGATGATCATTATGGTGAGAGGGAAACTGTAATGAAACTTTAAACCTCAGGGGGCTGATCGGTGCAAAACTGCAAGTGCACAGTATCGTAGTTTTATAGTAAAGTGATGAGAAGAGTATTGTCCTCAGGGATTGGTAACTTACTGTACGAGCACGAAATAATTTTTCTTGTATGATCCTGTTGATCAAGCTTGCACTCCTCCAAACGTCGTCGCTTTGCCACCTGAAAACACAAACGTGAGCTAACCAGCGGGTGTGTGCCGTAAACCCCTCCGATGCCTAAGTCAGCATAATAGACAATAGACACAAAAGCTTTGTTAATTCAGGAATCAAAGTTGTGTTACCTCTCCATAGGTAATGTTATGAGTTTTTATAAGTTCCGCATGGCACAATCCTAGTAGGACTCTTATTTCTCCATGTAGAGTCCTCCTAGGAATCACACTCCTGAAAGATAATGCTTATCCTTCAACACCCCCCTCACTGCTTAACTAAGTGACATGGTTTTACCTCGGTAGTATGACAAAGCGACCGAGCTATCATAGCCATGCTAAACTGGCTGAAATGACCCAGCTTTAACTAGCTTGGTTCTTCTCCTTATTGCGTGTACCTCGGTTTCTCCTGCTGAGACCGTGCTAACCATAACGAGCTTAGACCGAGCTAATCTGTAGCAAGGTCCTGAAGAAAGCTCAAAATACCTTGGCTCGGAAGGGTATGACCGAGCTAACTGCTATCACTCTGACCGTGGTGACCGAGTTAACTACATGGCTCCTTTGAACCGGGCTAACTTACAAGGCCTTTTTACTTAGTCATTCTCACTGTGGCCCATACAACGACCCATTACCCAACTCGGCCCAATTTACTTATAAATTACCCTCTTAATTGCCCCTTAATTCCATCTGCGCAGCATGATTGAGATTACTTGTTTCCAGCCGAGCTAAAAACTTTAGCCTTTCAACCGAGCTAAATTCACACCGGGCTATTACCTTGTCCGGTCAAAACGTCTCTTCAATCGCTATAACTAAATCGCTTTCAATTCTATGGGCACGTGACAAACTCTTATTGGCCCAACGTAGCTGTTGTGCCGTCTTCGTACTCCGAAAAATTTGAACAGTCCCGCCCAAAACCAAGGTTTATACAAAAACCTTATTTCTTGAATCAAAGACTTTTACTATTCATGTTTGTCTCTCTCTCTCTCTCGTTCTGAACCTTCATTTCTCCTCAACCTTACACTTGCAGAGCTCGTGTTTCTTGCTATTGCTACTTCCATCTTCAATGCCTTCATCTTAAACTGGTAAGTGGTTCAAATCTACTTCCTTTTCGTCGATTTCGCACATGTTTTGCAACACACAGCATGTTTATTTGTATGTTTTTCAAAGCATATACCATTTTTGCTTCCTTTTTTTGGAAAAAACCCACGTAATAGAATTATTGTACTTACGAACAATCTGAAATTTTTTTCCTTTGATCCAAAATCACACTCCAATCGAACTAGGATACTGTTTGTATTAGGTACAAACTTAGCCAAACCAAACAACCGAACTAAAACCTTACGCCATACTTGTAGTTTCAATAAGTCTAACTATCTTTTGCTTAACTTAACCGAGCTAGCGAACCGTATTAGGTTTGCGCAATGCCGTACTAGAAAGCCTCAACCACAGACCGAGCTATAACTTGGGGCTAAACCAGCTCCCTGACTTAATCAAAACCGAACTAAAAATGTTGCACAATAAGCTACAACCGGGCTACGAACTTCTTATTAACTTAACCGAGCTAAAGTCTCCCACTCAAACCGAGCTAAGAACGGATATTATTCCACGTAGCTGAGCTAATACAACATTTATTTTACCTTTTGTTTACTTTTAGCACGGTCCACTGGTCTGTGTTTAACACTTTTCCTTTTTACCTTGCAAACTTAGGTTGGCCAGGCACTCCCTTGAACGTTTCAGCCGAGATATTCCATATCATATCAGCACCGAGCTAACACTTGAGTTTAATTTATACATAATTTAAACCCATATGGGAAAGTATAGGTTCTTAGTAAACTCACTAGGTGCTATGGCTGAGTTCCGAAGGGACTACCATATTCCTAATGACGTCCATCTTACCTTAGCCGAACTAGATATCACTCCCTGGGGAAATCCTGGCTTCGTTCCCTTTACCCTTCTTTCCATTGTAGAATCCGGACTTAGATTCCCTGTACAGCCTCTTCTTTGTGAGTTCCTTAGACAAACAAACCTCTGCCCTACCCAACTTTCCACAAATTCGTACCATATAATAAATGGCATCGCCGAGCTAAACCGCCGGCTTGGCCTCAACCTCAGTTTGGCCGAGCTATTTCACCAATATTCTTTAGGCCAAAATGAGGATGGCTGGGTTTACTATTTAAGAATAAGGCTCCGCCGTGAAAAGATAATAAAGAATACCCCAGACAAAGACGTAAACGACGATGATTTTTTTTGGGTTTCTGGGAATTTTGAAGACCATGAGGCCTAGATCCCAAGCGACCGAATAAACTGGAACAAAGGAGTCATCGGTATAATTACCTCGGCTTAGTTTTATGCTTTCTTTACTTCAATTATAAGCTTTGAACCGCACTAACTGTTGTAATTTTCCCTTATGCAGATTTAAACTTTTTAAAGTCACAGTATAGTTACCCAAACCTTGCCACTCTCTGCGCCGTGCTAAGACATCCTGATTGAAGTTGGGTTGAGCTACTCAACTTTGAACCGACGTATAGATACAGCACCAGGCGAAAGACCAGGGTGACAAACTTCTTGCTGGAGCCCTCTCCTGAGCCTGATCCTTCCCTTCCACAAATCAACCTCATTCCATTAACAGCGGGGCAAGAGATGGCAAAAAAAAGAGCTGTAAGAGCCCTCATCACCGAGACAAACCATCCCGAGGTACCACTGACCGGTCAGACTCAGGAGACCGTGGTAGCCTTACCATCCCATTAGCCTTCATCATCCCGCCCAAGCAAGCGTGCTCCGACTTCCACAACCGAGCCACGCCTTGTCGACGAAGATGAAACCATCATTCCTCAATCCATAACACCAAGCCCACGACCGAAGTGCTCTGATCGAGCCAGCTCCTCCAAGTGGGTGCCTAAGGTCACATACAAGAACTGCGCTATCACTGACTCCGACTCAGTGGTTGCGGAAAAAGACCATATGCTGGCCTTTAATTTGGCCAAGAGCGTCTGCCTTCCAGCCGATGTGGATCACCACGACCATCTTACTAAGCTAAAGGCCATTTGCTCGACTTCAAAATCAATGCTGTTGGTAAGTTCTCATTTTCCTTCTCCAAATTTCAACATCTTTTCGCTCTGTTTATCTCAAAATTGTTTCTCCCTTCTTGTAGGCCGTACAGAAAAACCATGTCGCACACATGCTCGTGCTGGAACTTCGAAAGACCATTAGGGAGGCCAATGCTAAAACGGTCGAGCTAAAAGAATCCCAGCAAAAGATGGCCGAGCTACAGACCGAAGTAGCACGGCTAACCGGCCTAGTCAATTCAGCCGAGACAGATAAGCAGAAGGTTGCGGTCGTGCTGAAAGACAAATATCTGTGCGAGCTAGCCAAGCTCGAGGGAAAGAAGAACGCCGAGATAAAGGAGTTGGAGAAGAAGGTAGAAGACGCGGAAGACCGCGGTTATAAGGAGGGCGAAGCCACCTACATCCTGCAGTGCGAAGCTGCCAAGGATATTTTTTTCAAGTGTGGGTGGAAAACAGCGGTGGCACAGCTCTGTCATAGTCCAGAGACTGAGGTTTTCCTGAACCCTCCACCGCACTTCATACCGAGCTATATGGCGGAGTA